ACTTTCGACATACATTTTGTGGTGGCTATGGAAGGCCCGTAACCTTTGGGTCTTCCAGAAGGAGGTTATCCCTGAGCAGTGCATCATCAAGCAAGCAGTCAGGGAGTGGCTAGAGTTCAAGAACTTGCATCATTGTTGATTAGGTGAATGAGAGCTTTTGTTAGGTCCTTTGGACAGTTTCAAGATGGCTCTTGTGCACTATCTGTTTGGTTTTCTTTTTAGATTCTTAGCCTAGGACTTCAGTTGTATGCTGCCTAGGTTGGATTTGTGTTTTTTAGACCTCTCCTGTGAGGTCTTTCAGTCTATGCGATTGCATTTGGGCGTCTACCCCTTGTATTTGAACAATGTATTTCATCTTTTGTTATTGAGCTTTCTATCGTTTGGTAAAAAAAAAAAATTGCAAATAAAAAAGTATTTATTATTGTATATTATTCAACATAAAAAAATTATTCATTCTGCTCACATATTTTTAACTCATAATCTTAACAATTAACTATATCACTATTTCTACATTATAAATTAATTTTTATATCATGTCAACTTCGTAACATTTTTATCTCATTGTCATTCACATTTCCAAAATTTTTTCTCACTCAAAAATATTTTATTTGCCACCTTTTCATCTCAATTCCTAGACAAAAAATTCGAAAAAATTATATATCCAATTGCTCATATTTTCCACTTGTAAAAAATGGAACTACAAGACAATTCAAAACCAATTTTCTTACATGTACATTTTATTTTACAATTCATTTACGCAATGAAATTTCGAACTGTAATACATGTATTAAGGGGTGAGCAACGGTGCAATACGGGGTGAAAAATCGCACCGAACCGCAAAAAACTAAAAACTGAATTTAGTGAAATAACTAACCGTACCACACCGCAACTTTTGAAAAAACGGAACCGAATTTTTTTACACTAAAATATCCGAATCGAACATCACCGAAATGCACGGTTCGGTCGGTTTTAGTTCGATTTTTCTATATATATATTATTAAATTTGGTGCGGTTCGGTGCAAAATCGCACTGAATAAAACCGAAAACCGAACTTATATAAATGCAACGTAGAAAAAAATCGAACCAGAAGCTAAAAGGTAAGAGGGGGCTATACGGTGCTGAATGTTGGCCTACAAAAAGACAACATGTCCAACAACTAAGTGTAGCAGAGATGCCTTTGTTGCGTGGTTTTGCGGGCACACGAGAAGGGATAGAATCCGGAATGAGGATATTCGAGATAGGGTCGGGGTGGCTCCAATTGAGGAGAAATTGGTTCAACATTGGCTGAGGTGGTTCGGACATGTCCAACGGAGGCCTCCTAATGCACCAGTGCGTAGGGGAGTTCTACAGCGGGTCAATGATGTAAAGAGAGGTAGAGGTCGGCCTAAACTCACTTGGGAAGAGTCGGTTAAGATATCTTAAAGATTGGAATATCTCCAAGGATTTAGCGGTGGATAGGAGCGCTTGGAGGCTAGCAATCAACGTGCCAGAACCGTGACTTTTGCTCATTTCTCTTTTGCTCCAATCTCTTCATTTTGTTTTGAGCCTTTTTTGTATTTCTCTTAACATTGGTTTTCTTGGGTTTCATCTCTAGCCTACCCCAATTTGCTTAGGCCAAAATACTATGTTGTTGTTGTTGTAGAAAAAAACCGAACCGAAACCGAACCGAAAATTTTTACATAAAAAACACCAAACTCAACCGCACTGAATTGGACGGTTCGACTCGATTTTTCGGGTTGGGCTCGGTTTTGCTCACCATCATATTTTCCTTAATTATGCCTTTTCTTATTTCTTAATGAGAAAAAATGGAATTATGCAAAACCACAATATTAAACATAAGCCAAAAACAGTACATAGTTTAGTTTATCACGAAAACTACGCTGCACAGTTCTCAATACTTGCTGTCGGATAAGAG